TATATATATATATAAACATACAGTGTATATATACACTGTATGTTTATATATATATATATATATATATATATTTCCTGTTGAATAAACAAATACTTTCTAAACTTTAGGTTCTGGCTCAGCGCGCGCAGCCAAACGGACCGAACCTGTGGTTGTAGAGAACAAGTTTAAATCTGGTCCCAGGTCAGCCTACCTGACCGTGCGCACACACACATGCACGAACTCGTTACTGACCTGCGATCAGCAGAGCTCCGTCCCTGCTGGACTCGGTTCCTCCAGAATCCAGACCCACGAACCCGACCTTCAGCTTCTTCTGGTCTGCCTGCGCTCCGGGAAACACTCCCCCGTTCCGGGACTTCTGGACCATGATGGACCGAACTGAACCGGGGCTGCAGACCCTCCACCAGCTGAACCGGGCTGATGACCAGTCAGAACCGAGCTGCAGACCTACAACAGTCCGAATCAAGCTGGACCCTCACCGCCGGCCAACGAACTGATCCTCGAGGGCTCGGGTTTGGACCAGAACCATCTGGACCATCGTTGCTGAAGAAGATGGAGAGATGCAGAAAGAAAATCCGCAGAGAGGAGGACGCCAGCTGATTGGCAGAATTTCTCCTTACGTCATCTTAAAGGAACGGGTGACGCCACCACCGGTCACAGGTGAAAAACGAGCCTGATCAGCTCAGGTGATCAGTTTTATCTAACAAGGTTGAGTCAGGTCCTCCGGCCGAGGCCCTGAGCCTCCTGAGAGTCACCTGAGCAGGCATTCAGGACCTGGAGGTGTTTCCATGGCAACATGAAGAGGAGGGCGGAGTCAAGGAGGGGAGATGTGGTTGGCTGACAGATGTTTACATTTAGCTGGCCTCCATGATGGTGACGTCATGAAATTTCACACAAATATAAAATATCAAACGGTCAGTTGAAAAACTGCAATAAGAAACCAGTTCTAACATCTTTCTGCTCTGAAGCCCAGGAACATCTAACACAGGGGTGTGTCCTGGTCCTGGTCTGGGTCCTGGAGGGTCACTCACTACCCTGCAGGACTTAACTGTCCACAAATCATACCAAATTTATTTATATAGCACATTAAAAACAAAACATCTGGATCAAAAAGTGCTGCACATAATTCAAACAATAAAAACACAACAAAATTAAAACAATTAAAAATAAGACATTAAGTAAAACCAACAAATAATGTAAAAAAATGACAACTCAGGCTGCATTAAAGCTACATGAGCACAAATGTGTTAAAACTGGAGGTTTTCAAAACACTAAGAGTTGAACCTGTCTGATATGAAGGACAGCTGGTTCCACAGACCTGAAAAGACCCGATTACCTCTGTAGACCAGCCTGGACCTCAGGACAACCAAAACCAGAACACAGAAGGAGCGTCGAACAGCGTCATCTGCACTTTGATCCAGCAGCAGAGTCCAGCAGGCGTTCCCTCAAAACCAGCTGCAGTCGGACGCACAGACATGATCCATGGCCGTCGGCTGGTCGGCCTCCTGATGGAGACGAGAACGTTTTGTGCATGTTCTCATGGCGTCAGCACCGGCGAGGCAGTGCGAGTCAGCGAGCTGGTCTTCAGGCCGAGACAAGAGAATGTTTTGTGCACGTATTACAGAAAGATGTTCTCAGACATAGAAGAAACACAACTGTGACTTCCTGCAGGAACTGATCCCCTGAGCACCGACTGAAAGGCTGCAGCCACGTTTACAGTCAAACCAGCACACCTGCTCGCTCTGCAGAGAAACAGGAGCTACACATCGAGATGCTGGGGGGGGGGGGCGCGAACTAACCTCCCCTCTTAACAGGGCTGACTTTTGACCACCCACTTTAGGATCACAGTACAGTAGTCCCTCGCGACTTCACGGTTCTGCTTTCACGGTTTTTCAAAGATTGGACACGATACACAATTAGCTGATTGATGGACGAGCCACAAGAGCGGCATTCATTCAACCGTTATTTAGACAGGTTAGTCCCATTGAGCCTCGAGGACTCAGTTACAAGAGAGACCTGATTTTAATAAAGAGATGAATGGATTGTTTATTTAAAATAAATTATTTTAAATGATTTAGCACCTGTGTGCAGCCCACAGGTGCAGGGAGAAGCTCCGTCCTGCAGCTTGTCATGATCTCCACTCTCTGCCACCCCCACCCCCTGCTGGGGCTGCAGCAACTTTGTCTAGGGTTAACCCTTTGCTGTCCTGCTGTGTGCTCTACAATTTAAATTTAAATTTTGTATTATTTTATATATATATATGTATACTAAAATAAAACTACTACTTTAGTAATAAAAACTTTGTACTACTATTCCTACTTGGTGGTTTTTCACTCATCGTGGGGCGTGGCCCCTAAATCCTGTGATAAACGAGGGTCTACTGTACTCTAACTCAGGACCCTTCAGACATCTGTAACCTGAAGTTACAACATAATCAAACTGTAACGATCATTTTATCACTTTTCTTCACCTGTACAGGTGGGAAGGCAGTCGTGTTACTATCAGATTTTGATGCCTTTGGCCCTTCAGGGCCACTGTACCGAACGTATCCAACAGAACCAACAGTCTAGTTTTGGGTTAAAATTAAACTTTAATTTACATTTTCTTTTTAAAAGAACATTTAAACCAAAACAATCAACAGGAAGTGACAAACAGTTACCATGGAAACCAGAACAAACTCCGAGGACAGACAGGATTGGGTACCATTCTGGAGCCTTTAACTTAAGTTTCCGACAGAGAAGGGCTCTTGTGACTGGCTGACAGTGATGAAGCAAACACAAACCCTGAGAAACTCCTGCAGGCGAGGTCCAGCCTGACGATGGTCAGTACGGCTGCTTCCTGATGAACCTAGAGAACATGGCCAAGGCAGCCACTGGTTTATCTGAAGGAACCATGTGACCAGAACCCTATAAGAACATGCAGACAAAAAAATCAATCAGTCAATAAATCTATAGATTAAATCAGTCCCTAGAGATCAAGGTGAAAAGAATTTTCACAATATTGAACAATTTCTTAAGAATTATAGAGCAACATCTGATGTCAGATTTAGGAGTGGAAGCCCCGCCCACAAATCTGACATTGGGTCAGTGGTCGTCACGATGATGATGATGGTGTACCTTCACAGTGACGAAGGCCAGGTTGTCAAACTCTTTGACGAAGCCTCCGACCTGTTGACCATCGTCATCATCGTAGATCCATGGACGCCGCTGAACCTCCACCTGTGACACAGAGACAGATAGGCACACCTGAGAGACAGACAGACACACCTGAGAGACAGACAGACACACCTGAGACAGACAGGCAGACACACCAGAGACAGACAGGCACACCTGAGAGACAGACAGACACACCTGAGACAGACACACCTGAGAGACAGACAGACACACCTGAGAGACAGACATACACACCTGAGACAGACAGGCACACCTGAGAGACAGACAGACACACCTGAGACAGACACACCTGAGAGACAGACAGACACACCTGAGAGACAGACAGACAGACAGACACACACGTGACAGGCAGACAAAGCTAAACACACCTTTGTTCCTGGTGAGTATTTGATTGGTTACCTGTTGATTAAGGGACTCCACAAACCACTCGTCCCCCATGAAGTTACAGGCCATGTCCACGTCCCCGTTATAAATCAGGACCCGGTACTTCTGCAGAGAAAACAAAACAACGCACACCTGAGGTAGGACACGCCCACAACGCACCCCAGGGCCATCATCCAGAGAGAACCCATGGAGGAACCTGCAGGTTGTTCTGTAGATGCTACAAATCAGTTTGAGTGGAGGAAGGAATTCTATCAGAGTGAATGATTAAATAAAAATATGTTCCTGAATAAAGATTTGGACTAAATTTGATAACATTTACTCAACGCCTGACGGTGACACGCTGACTGAAGATGAGGCTGAAAGTTGAACTTCTTACGACAATCCAAATTTTTTTAATTGAGTCTTTAGAGAAAAATAACAACTTCCAGGACTGACCCAGGAGGGCGGTGCCGTCAGACTTCAGAGCCTGAATACCCTAAAAAGTTGGATGCTAATGAAGGTTTGTGACAAAACATCAAGCAAAGCTAACGGTAAACAACCTATGAGCTGAAACTGTCACCAGACTTGAGTCCATGTGCCTTCAGGTGGGGGGATGGGCTCCGACTGTTGTTTGTGCCTACGCTCTAAACGGCAGTTCAGAGTATCCGGCCTTCTTGGAGTTCTTTTTCTCTGTTTACTGGCAGTTTCATGTTCCTCACCTAAACTCTGGATAGTGACAGAAAGAAACTAATTGTGGAACCAACTTCCAGTTTATGTCCATGAGGCTGACACTTTGTCCAGTTTAAAGACTGGGCTTCTCTCCTTTTTGATAAATCCTATAGTTAGGGTCGGCTTGGGTTTCCTGAACCATCCCTTAGTTCTGCTGCTATAGTCTTAGACTGCTGGAGAACAAACTGACCTCATTTCCTCCCTCTGCTTCTGTCTTTACTTGCTCTACTCTTCCGGTTTGTATTTGTAATTATTTCTATCTGAACATGTTTTTCATCTTTCCTCCTATAGAAACCACACTTGGACCTGCCATTCTGTCTCTACTTCCTGTCCTCTCAAACCCAGCCGGTCGAAGCAGATGGTCGCTTGTCCTGAGCCTGGTTCTGCTGGAGGTTTCTTCCTCATGAGAGAGTTTTTCTTTCCACCGTCTCCTTTGTTCTTGCTCAGGATGAGACTGTGACGAAGTGAAGATTCAACACAATCTGCTGCTTCTTCACATAGAGAACTTTTACTGATTGTCTTTCATAATGTCTGTGATGTTTCTGTGAGACGACTTCTGCTGGAGCTACAGAAATAAACCTGAATGTGACATTACCATGAATCAAATCTTTTTCTGACTCGTCTGGTTGGACAACAAGGTGCAACGTCCTGTTTAGACAGGTGCTGCCATGCGTTCACTGACCAGAGCCGACAGCAGCTTCAGGTACTGTTTACTGACATCCAGGTAGATCCGACCGTAGTTGAGGTTCACTTCAGAGCTGAAACATGAGACACAGTTGAGACCTGTTAGAACCTAGAACTAGCAGAGATGAGACCAGGACAGGTGAATCCGTTACCTGCAGATGACCCAGTCCAGAGCGTCAGGACTGATGTGCAGAGCCTTCTTGACGTAAGGATTGTTCAGGTAGAGGACAGTAGAGGTGGAGTTGGTGCAGGGAGGGTCCAGACGGACAGACTGGTACAGAGACGCCAGACTTTGCAACTTCTGTGGAGCAAAAACAGGAGTGAAGCTGCAAACTGGTGAGTTCCCATTAATGAGCTTCTCCAGGTGAGTCCATACACACCTGATTCCACTGCTGGGTCCACTGATGTTTGGTAAAGGTGTTCCCAAGATCTCTAATCACCAGCTGCCCATGTTCCAGGCTAGAAATAAACAAAAACTCAATAAATGCTGGTCCGATTTCCAGAACGCACCTTCTGCACATCAAAGGTCACAGCTCACCTAAACCTGTGAGGGACTCCACCTGGACAGGAAGCATACAGGTTGTACATGTTCAGCCCAGAATTGTAAACAATGTCCTGCACCTCATACAGCTGCAGAGACACATAAAGGCCACATCAGACCACACAAGACCACCTGAGGCCACCAAAGACCAGATTAGACCACCCAGTAACATTTGAGGCCACCAGAGACCTCAAAGCTGTAAGTGATCTGGTTCAGACTCACGGTCTCTGAGCAGTTCTGGTCCTGGTTGTTGTAAAAGTTGCACTTGGTGTCTCTACAGCAGAAGGTCTGCAGCTGGGTCCACAGCTGGGTCCCCAGCAGGCCATGATAGTAGGCGAAGAACACCAGAGCGTTATCGTTCAGTTCGTAACTCGACATCCCATTTCCCACAGCAACGCCCTGAAGAACACAAGGGTGTAGGTCATGTGACTTCACTACAGGCCAGTGGTCAGTGCTGCAGAGTCACCACAGCAGAACCAACACGCACCTGCAGATTCAGGCTGGCGTCCTCCATCACCCTCTCAGCAAGCGTCGGGATGTAGATCCCTCCATAACTTTCTCCGGTCAGGAAGAGCTCATTTTTGCTGAACTCTGAGAACATGCGAAAGAACTCCTTCAGAGCCAAGTAGTTGTTCATGGACACCTGCAGAAAGAGGACACCTGAGACCGCTGAACCACCGGACAGCCAATCAGAAAGAGAGCTGGTGGAACCGTGTCACTGACCTCTGTGTCATTCGTCTTGTAGTTCTTATCGGCTGAATACGAGAAGCCGACGCCTGCTGGAGACTCCAGGTACAACATGTTGGCGATCTGCAGGGAACAATTAACCAGTTACTTCTAGGACCTAACGAACCAGAAGACCCACGCCCAGTCACATGCTCCACCTTGTTCCACGAGTACGGGTTGTACTGCAGTGTCACACCATCTTCCTGGACCTGAAGCAACAGAGGTCAGAGGTCAACACACCAATGATGTCACGATAATGCAGGTGGGCAGACTCATAGGTACCAGGAAGGGTCCGTGTTCCGTCAGCAGTCCATCTAATGAGCTGCAGCCAGGACCACCGTTCAGCCACAGCACTACCGGGTCAGAGGCTGGCTTGTTCTGAGACTCCACAAACCTGAAAATCAAACCAGAAATGGGTCGAGTGAGGCTCAAGCTGACCAGTGACTTGGCTGTGTGACAGGTACTGACCAGTAGTGAAGGTGTTTCCCATCAGCCACATTCAGGTATCCGGAGAACTGCCTGAAACTGGGCTGTTTCTGAAGCCCAGGCAGGAAGGTTATCTCATCTTCAGCCGGAGCTGCTTCAGAGTCCAACAGAACCACCAGGAAGAACCACAACACCACCTGCATCTGAAGGAAATGCAGCGTACAGCACCTGAGACCAGACAGGAACTCATGCCGAGGCCACAAGAGCTTAAAACCAGTTTGTGATCCCGTCTTTCACTAGTTCTACAAAAAGTAGCCGAACCTTGTGCGCTGGTGTGTTGGTGTAAGGTCCCAGTCATCCAGAAGAGGACAACCCCAAGAGGACTTCTACTGTTCAGGACTGTCGTGCTCTAGCTGACGGACTCTACACCAACATGTTGCCTTACGCTTTGGGAAGAACGCCCAAGGAATGGTGTGGGAATATACACGACAATACGGAAGAACAGCGCCGACGTAAGTTTAACGCTTTATCAAAAGGAAAGGCACCTCCATTTTAAAAACATGGAGATGTTTCCAAAACACTTCCAATATTCACAAGAGGAAAACGTGAGGATAATCAAGACAGTGTGGGAGGAATCTGTCAGCAAGCTGATCAGAGCATGACTGCCACACTCTCAGTGCTAAACCTCCTCCTTCTGACCTTCATTTCCAAGAAACGACAGTGATCTCACCCCATCAGCACAGACACGTCTCCATTTTAGTAACAGACAAGGGGACGTGCACAGTGGGCCTCAACACACCTGACTATCCCAGGACAACAACCACAATATTATGAGGTGACGTTACTGCCTGGGAGGCACTGAAGACCCAGACAAGGGTTATGAAAATTAATAATTATTCTACGCCTTGGAAGTGAGTCTACATTTCTATCTCCGTTAATGCGGCCCGAACCAAAATGTCTCCCCCCACAAAAGTTATATCAAAACGACCGGCTCGGCCCCGTGATGTGTGCTATTACTTTTGTTGGCATTTCAAGTTACCATGGCGAAGTAATTTGCGAACAAAGACGGAATATTTCACCAACTCCAGGAACTAGTTGGTGACTGCCCACTTATTATTCTACACCTGAAGAGCAACTTTTTCAACTTTAATGTGGCCCAAACCGCAAAGTGGACCCCCACAAAAGTTATATCCAAAGGACCGGCCCGGCTCCGAGATGTGTGCTATTACTTTTATTGGCAATTGGCGTTACCATGGCGACATATTTTGCTAACGAAAATGACAAATTTCCCATAGGAAATGAACAGGAGAAAACTTTTCAAATAAACTGAGTAACGTTGGGAGCCATTTTGGTTCAACATGCATGGAAGGCACCTATTATTATTATTATTTTAAATTAGTAAAAATAATTAACATAAATTATTAATTTTTTTTTATAATTACAAATAAACAATTACTAATATTAATACTTGAGATTTAATAATTAATATAATTATAAATATATTAATAGTTTTTAATAATTGATAGATTGACAATATATTAATAATTAATTAATATTTATTAATAATAATAATAATAAATAGGCAGTCCCCGTCAAAGTTTCTCCAGGAACTTTCTAGTTATTTTATATTTTCCTTCATTATATCATATTTACACTATTATGTATTTCTATAAATGTTTTAGTGTCTGATATTGAATTATTTGTTTTATGAATGTCCCACTTCCTCCTCCATTTCCTTCCTGTCTCTCTCTTTTTATGCAAATACTCCTTCAATAAACGCTAAACTTGATTTTGACCACGTCTCCTGGATACAAATGATTTCTTCAAAAAAGTTCAATACAAGAACAAGTGGACTTTATTTGGAACAGAAGACGCGTTCTCAAGCTCCCGGGGTATCCTTCCCAAAATGCTTTGCGACACGCTGGTGAAGGTTCTCAGTCATTCAGGACATGGTCAGTTCAAAACACTTCAAGACAGAGAAGATGTCTTCTGTTACAAATAAAGTCCAGCTGTTTTTGTCTTGAACGTTTTTGAATTTACCGTGTCCTGGAGGACTGAGAATCTTCACCAACATACTATTTCAGTTTTTTTACAAGTCCATCTATAAATTCTTGTCCATTTGCATCTAAACTTCTTGCATTCATCAAATATTTCCATCACTGAGGTTTCCTGACCTCCCATCTGTTTCCAGTCTGTTGTTTATATTTTCCCATGACTTCTCTAAATCCCATTTTCAGCACCTCTCACAAATATTTTAATCTTCTCCGTCTTGTTTGATTGATCGGTCCAGTTGACAACGTACGCCACGAACAGAATAAGTTTCTCTGCTCACGTGTTCTCCTCTGGTTGAGGACTTTGCTGTGGGAATTAATTCATTTGATCCGATTCTCGTGTCTTTGACCTTGAACTCGTCACTGCTTCAGCATAGTTGATGATTTTTAGTCATCTGGATCTGTTGGATTTACGCTCCTCTTCCTCGCCTCCATAATTAACTCTGTGTTGCCGCCACAGCTGCAACACTTTTGATCATCTCTCCACATTTCGTATGTTCTCCTCCACACTTGGGACACCTCCGCTTGCCTTCGCACGCCGCTGCCCCGTGTCCGTGACACTTGCAGCGGCGGAGTGGAGGAACAAAAGGCCTGAACAGCTTCTGACAACGCTCCCATGCTTCGACTCTTTCTCCCTCGACTTTATGTTTGTACACGACGACGCTCCGTCTGATTTGTTCTGACTCCTCATCAGCTGGTCTCCCTGTAATCACGCCCTTGATACTTCTGTTCTCCTACAACCGTTCCGTTATCTTTTTGCAAATGTTTTCAAAGTTTAAAGTTTATTTCGTTGCTCCACGGTTTTACAAATGATCTTTTTTTTAATCTACGTCTCCCATTTTCTTTTTAATTTCTCTCGACAACCCAACAGGTCTAAGGTTTCCCTGTTCGTCCTCTTTGTTGAATCTTACTCTGAATTCCTCCCTCACCGTTTTATACGAATCACTCCGTCCTCATTTCTTCTAATCCCCTTTCAAACGATCCCCTGCCCTCCATCTTGCCTCTGCCACCTTCTCGACCTTTCCTTTCCTGGTGTCCACGCCTCAACGTTCATCCTCTGCATCTCCCAATTCACCATTTTCAAGTTTAGGACACATCTCCATGTCCGAAGTCCGAACATGATTTGACAAAAGAAAACGTTTCTCTCCACTTGCCGGCTCTCCTGACGTCTTGTTTGGAAGAAACGGACCGTGAAGATCTAAACAAGCCCCACAACAGACCGTCTCCAAAACCTGGACAAGGACAGAAGTGATTAAATCAGCTGTTTATCTGATTATTGACGAGTCCACTCTGTCTTCAGTGTCTCCTGAAGATAAACAGAGGAAGGAACAACGTTCAGAGCAGCATCAGCAGCTGAGTCACTGATTGCATCGATAAGCATCTGGTGGCCATGTTCGATCTGCTGGTAGTCCAGAACCCACACCACATTCAGAACCAACAAAGCCTGAAGCCGTCTCTGGGGGACGTGCTCGTATTGTTAGAAGACAGACAGTCCCAGATCTGTTCCTTGGTCCTCACCACCCACTGGAGCCCAAGACACACAAACACATCCTGAGGATCCCCCAACAGGTTTATGAAGAGACCACCAAACCCTGTAGCCAGAGACAGGTCCACAGTCCATGGTTCCATGGTGAGGCGTCCACAGTCCAGGACAGAGAGGACCCTCAGACCTGTAGTGGAGACCTCCAACAGCAGCAACACAAACAATGGAAGAACCCCGAAGATCTGGTCTTCAGGTCCAGACTCAGCTGGTCATCTACATGTCCAGGACAGGGGACACTCTGAGGACAGTAATGTGCAGAATTCAGGCAGAAAGTACTTTGAGGAGGTGTCCTCAGGTTCTGACACCAAACGACTTAAAACCTGGACCTGACCCAGGATCAGAACTGAGGACGTCTTTGAGAAGACAAGTCCAGTTGTCTTCTATGAACCAGTCTGGACAGTCTGTGTGGACCGAGAGTGTCTCTGAATGTTGTCCCGCAGCTGAAACTACAAAGCTGTCCTGATCAGAACCTGAGGACCTGATCTGGGGCCAGCAGGGGGCGCTGCAGAACCAGAGGACCCAACAGAACCTGGTTCTGGACTGAAACGTGGATTTGTTTCACTGGAAAAGAACCTGGTTCTGGACATTTTAAATGTTTAACAGAAAAACTGCAAAGTTTCTATTTAGTCTCGTGACGTTTCATTAAGTTGTTGTTGTTGTTGTTGTTTACTTTCTCTTCAGACAGGATTCAGTCAGCTGACAGATCTCGTGACACTTCCGGTCCAGAACAGTTCCAGCAAAGAAGAAAAACTTTACACGTTTTGAAACCGAACAACCGGGCCGAACCGGAACCACCTGAGCTGCTCTCTCACACTGAAGCGGGTCAGAACCGGAAACCGAACCGTTCCAATCAGCAGAATTAGTTTCCCTGTTAATTAATAATGAACCCGGTTCAGTTTGACAGATTACCTGGTGAGAACAGTTCACCTCTAACCCGGTTCCGACTGGGCTGGTAGAGCCGTGTAGAACCGGAAGTAACGGAAATAAACAAATTAACCCGGGTCAAAACAGTTTAAAGTGACCAGAACCTCACCTTCATTTTCGCAGTCCACCTGGTCTCGCGCTCACCGCCGCACAGGCTCGGAGGGTCACGTGACAGTCAGCTGGTTTCCTGTGTAGTCACGTGCCAGAGATCCCGCCTCCGATCGTCTTGATCCAGAACCGGACCGGGTTCAGGTTGTCATGACAACAGATGCAGAACCAGATCAGGTATGATCCTTGAGCCGGTCATACCTGGACAGGTGTTGCTGTTCAGAACCAACACCGGCGAGTTCTGTTCCTGAGGCCATCAGAACCAGCTGAAGTCCAGTTCCAGATCCTGCCAGCAGGTTTTGGAACTCTTCCTGAAGCAGAGCGGGTCGGAAGCGCTGTTGGAGTCAGCCTCCCCACCATCACAAACATCTACACCTCCAGATGCAGGAAGAGGTCCACCTGCGTCATGAAGGACCCCACTCACCCAGCACACACACTTTCTGCCCCACTCCCCTCAGGAGCATTACGTGCAGAACCACTAGACTGAGGAACAGCTTCTACCCTGAGGTTGTTAGACTCATGAATATTTCACCAGAATAATCACTGTGAAATAAATCACAGTATGCTGCTTCAAAATGTCCTGATGCTCAATAATCCAGGTAGAAAAATCTAAAAAAGTTAAATCTGGTCCTCTGGACATTCAAATTTTTTTTTAATTTTTTTAAATGTATAAACATTTTGTCTTTCATCCGAGAGACTTCCTCAGTCTGAGGAGCTGTATTCAGCTCAGTCTCTTAAATAGCACCTTCTCAGAGTGGATCAACCAGTTTGCTGCTGACAACCAAAACCAGCTGATCACATGCTCAAGAAGGACCATCAGCCTAACAATGGGTCATTAGCACACTGATGGCTGTTTACTGTTCACAGAGGGCTGAGTGATACTAGCAATCACAGCATTGTAAGAGGGGGACAGTTGAACCCGGAGGCTCCACCCCTGTTTAATGATGGACGGTTTCTTTTCACAAAGATGGCCTCCTTTACTCCTCTCTCAAACCATCGTTCCTCTCTGTCCAGGATGTGAACATCTTCATCCCTGAAAGAGTGACCGCTGGCCTGGAGATGAGTGTAGACTGCAGAATCCTGGCCTGATGATGTTGATCTTCTGTGCTGGGCCATCCTTTTGGCCAGTGGCTGTTTAGTTTCCTCGATGTACGACTGATCACCCTCCTGACACTGAACAACATACACAATATCACTCTGTGTTGGGGGACTGGATCTTTGGGATGAACCAGTCTTTAATGTGTTTTGGGGTTTAAAAAGATGTTGTGGGTTTTCTGCCCACATGGGAGTTTCTGCATGAATTCTGCAGGTTCTAGTCCAGGTGAGCAGGTGGTTCTGTTGGACTGGATCAGATGCTAAGGTCACCTGCTGCAATATGAAGTTTCCTTTTTATAATTTGGAACGGTGGTGCAGGTTGAGGTCTCAGGTTCAAATCCCCAGATCATTACTTTTGGGTGGAAGATGAAGGACTATGTCTGCCTCACTCGGGGCCCATGAACAAGCCCAGAGGAGCTGCAGGTGTCTGGACCTCCCTGATCTGATGCTGCCCCGAGACCTGAGTCCAGAACCAGATGATGGGCAGAATCATCTGAGGATTTTTGGTCTCAAATTCTCTATATTTTGTGATTTCAATACAAATTTGTCTCAAAAACAGTTTTTCCTCCTAACAATTAAAAAATAAATAAAACCTTTAATCTGTGATTTCAGGTCATGTGACCTCCTGCTGCACAGTGAAATTGTCCCCCCCCCCCACTCATTACCATGGCAACACTTGAGTCTGAGAAAACTTTATTAAAAAACACAAACTAGGAAGGAAGAACAAAAATAAATCTATACAATGAGGGAAGGGGCGGAGCTTCAAGGTCTGGGAGGTGGCCTCATTCCCGGAGGGGGCGGTCCTAGAAACAGAGGTCATAAAATTAGCTCACAGTGGGTGTTGATTGGCTGCTCAGTCACCATAGCAACAGCTCACCTCTCATCCCAGGAGGCGGGGGCCTCATGCCAGGAGGGGGCATCCCCATTGGAGCGCCACGACCCGGACCGGGAGGCATCCCCATTGGAGGGCCCATCGGGGGCCGCATGCCGGGGGGCGGGCCCATCATACCTGCAGGTGAAGAGCCAGTGTTAGTGACATCACTACCAGACTGCGCAGGAACCGAGCTCAAACCGGAGACCAGGTTCTGCTCCAGAAGAGAAATTCAAAAAAAACGGAACCAAAAACAAAAGGAACACATTCACAGATGGATTCGGTCAGAACTTGTTACCGATCCAAAACCCGCGGTCCTGCTCCTCATCAAGAAACAGAACACGACATGTTCTAAGAGCAGAACCAAGGACCAGATGGTTCCAGAAAACCAGAACCAAACCATCGCGTCAGAACACTCCATGTAACCGGGCCGGATGGGTCAACAGCCACCTTCACCTGGGAGGTTCTGATTCTTTAACACCAATGTTTGAACCAGAACCAAGCCTGGACCTGGACACAGCTCACCTGGAGGCGGAGCGGCACGGGCCATTGGGGGCGGAGCTCCTCGTCCCGGAGGGTACTGAGTCGGCGCCCCGGCGATGCTGGCTCCTGCGGCGGCAGCAGCGACCGTCCCTCTGCCCTGCGGGGTCATCACCTGAACCAAACAGAACTTGTTAGAACCAAACGCACCCCCACACACACCTGACCCAGGTGCATCGTCAAGGTTACCTGTTGAGAAGGACCGCCCACTCCTCGGACCGGTCCCGCCAGTCCGGCCGGAGCCTGAGGCATGGGAGCTCCTGCCGGAACGCCGCGACCCGCTGCTCGGCCCATACCTGGACCTCCGGCCACGCCAGCCAGGGGGACCCGGGCGATCCCCGTCTGAGGAGAGGTCAAATTAACCGTTAGATCTGATAGGGGTCAAAGGTCAGATTAACTGTTAGATCTGATGGGGTCAAAGGTCAGATTAAACTCACGTCTTTGGGGGGTGGGCCCTCTACCGTCATGGAGACCAGGTTCTCCCCTCGCAGCAGAACCAAACCCAGAACCCTCTTCTCCTCACGTTCTGGCTGCTTCGTGTTCTTCGGCCTGAAGGAAGAAACAAAGTTCACGGTGCATTCACTGACCAGTCAAAAATCAGACCTTTGAGTGTTAAACAGATTCTGGGGTTTAAATTTCTAAACTAGACACTCAATAAAACTTAAGTTGGAAAAAATAAATTATTCACAACTTAAACAACCTGACAGGTGTACAGACAGGAAGTGGGCGGAGCCTGCACCTACTTTATCTTCCTGAATTCGTCGCAGTCGCACAGGATCAGGTTCATGTGTTTGTCGAAGGCCTTGAAGGTCCCGATGAAGATCCGTCCGTCCTGCAGGATGCACCTCATCCTGTAGTCGATGTGCTGCAGCATCTTACTGCTCTTTCCCACCGTCTGAAAGTCAATCACAGAGCAGCGCCGTCAGAGAGCCAATCGCAGAGCAGCGCCGCCAGAGAGCCAATCGCAGAGCAGCGCCGCCAGAGAGCCAATCGCAGAGCAGCCCCGCCAGACAGCCAATCGCAGAGCAGCGCCGCCAGAGAGCCAATCGCAGAGCAGAACTTCAACACTTCCTGAAACGTCTCCATGTGGATGTTTCCAGACTCACCTCCGGACGACTGACTTGTTTAACATTTAAGAGCCCCAGTAAACCACGGTCAGCGTTGTCTGGTAAACTAGGGCTGTCTCAGACACAGTGCTGGTCAGGGATCATGTATGTCAGGAAAATGATGCACCAGGGGGTATGAATGCTTTGGTAAAGGTCAACCTCGGTGAAGACGTCGTCCCCGGAGCCAACAGCGACTCGATCATTTTGAAGGGTACAATAATACACAGCTCAAGCTGGGACAACACAGCGTGTGACCCGGCTGAAGTGATAAAAAAACGTGGCGTTCCCGTGCAGGACGCATGCCACAGATTCGCCTGCATTTTTTAATTTGTTAGCCGTCTGCTATCTATTTTCCTTTTTGTGCCCCAGAAGTGAAGTGAGCCCGATGCTCCACCTGGGTGTACCTCAGGTGTGATGGGCAAACGTCATCATTGTATAGAAACCTAGAATGACGACATCATAGAGCACCAAGTTCTCCCATCACCACAATCCATGTTGGCTCTGACACAAACTCTCCTCCATTGTTGTAGTTTTAACGACTTCTGGTGGAGAATGTGACGGTATTTGTTAATATGTAACGCGTCATATTAAACGTTTACATTTGTCCCATCGGAGCCGACTCAGATAACGTCCACTCCAACAAGAACCATAGATCAGCTGCCACTGTTGTCCTTGCAGTTCTGCTCACTGAACCGACACGACCCAACAGAACCTCTTGGCTTGGTACAGATGCACACCTGGGTCTGTAGGACTGGACGCTGGCAGATGGTTTACACGTCTCTGACCAACGTGTTGTGTTATGTTTCTGGGTTGACCCCCACACGTAGCAGACCTGCAGCTCTGGGTCACCAGAACCACCAAGACCCAGGTCTGAGTCCTGATGGAGTCTGCAGAGCCACCTCTGTTCCTGGTTTTAACCAACTGTTATCACAGATCAAACTTCTCACCCGACAGGAAGTGGACGGAAGGTGACGTCACCCGACAGGAAGTGGAACCACTTGTTGACCATTACAGCTCAAAGAAACATTTTAACATTGTATTTAAAGTTCAACACCACATGAACAGATTATTGTGAAAAGGTTCTGTTCGGACCTCTGGTCCGGTTCCTCTTCGGGTTTTGTCATTTGTTTTTTCAGCTTCTTGCCGGTGAGTGTACGTGGTTCTGGTTCTGTTCAGCTTTAACGACGTTACATTGAAAGGTTCGGGTCATGAAGCCCAGCTAGCTTTCCGCTCCTCTGTATTCTGATGCTGACCCAGTATTTGTCCCTAGAAACGGATTAATTTGTTGTTTTGGTGCAGCCGGACTCGGTTCTGGTAACAACTTAAGAATAAAGTTTGTTACAGAACTCTCGGAACCGGACCAAACGGCTAACACTAAAGACTCCGGCGCGGTTCTGACCGGTTAAACGTCCCGCCGACGTTACCAACATCCGCTCAGAAAACACAGAAATAAACCCCGAACCGGACAAATACCGGGCGCCCCGCGGCCAGAACCGAACCGAACCTCCGGCTGGAAACACTCACCATGTTTGCGGCTCTGATGGCTCCGATTCTCGCCGGATTCACCAGAACAAAATTAAAAACTGGACCCGACACAGGCCTCTTTCTCACGCAGAACAGGAAGTGACGCAGACAAAAGCGTCCTGCTCCGGAAATGCTCCGGTTTTTTTTTTTTTTTGATAAATCTTTATTAAAGGTAACATTTGAACAAATGAACAAAGCTAAGGGCTTCAATACATTAATAACGTGCACAAATGAAATGTTTAAAACTTCTCGGTTCTTCGAGTCAGAGATAATTACGATGTTCTGTTCAGAATCATTCTGGATCGCCAGAAAAGACAATCAGATTTTTTTTAATTCAACCTTTATTTAGACAGGTTAATCCCACTGAGCCTCGAGGACTCATTAGAGACCTGATTTTAACAAAGAATAATGACAACAATGGACAACAACAGACAATTATAAAAGAGGAATACAGATTATTATTATTATTTACAAATTAAAAGAAGATGGCAATAAAAGTAACAAAAACAGCTAGCTTATAAGGTGACTGTATAAAACTAAAATAATAATGGAGGGATGAAACTGGTTTGTGTCTGAGCCGCTTCCCTAAGAGTATCAGAACTTTGGCCCAACCTAAACATAATTCAGTCAATCTTGGTTTGGATGAGCTGATGTGTGGCCACAGATTCAGAACCGTTCACACACGTGTATAATATATAACTAATCATTAAGTGAGGATTATTTATTATTTATACTAATAAAATCCTCCTGCAGGTTTCTATCAGACAGAATAAATCAATATGTCAGATCATTAACTAACAGCGACTTCGAGGAAAGATAATCTGATTCAATTCAGAAATCCTTTCTTAATCCCAAAGGTAAATTAAATGTTGTAACTCCTCATCCTGGCTTCATTAAAGAGTTGGATAGATGCTGATGGCTGTGGGCAGCGGATCTGAAGAAGCCTCTGACTGAAAACACTGTTGTTGTATGACAGTCTGATGAAGAGGAGGGTTCTCTATAATGTTCTTCATTTGACAATCATCTCCAAAGGTTCTAGAGAAGTCCCAGAACTGAGCCAGCCTTCTCTTTTTGAAGTCACTTGCTCTGGTGCAGCTACCCCAGCGGATGATGGCGCCACTCATCGTGATCGATGGAAGAGATGGTTTCAACTTCTTCTCTCTCTCTTCTTTGCTCACACGGCGCCTTCTTTCCAACTCATCTGGGATTTGGGCTGTAGTTGAGATATTATTTGAGCTTTCGAGATGTTAATCAGCTGCTCCCGGTTGTAAAAGACCATGGTTACACATAACAAATGTCCAAAAAGTAAAAAAGGTTTCAGTAAAAATCCTTCCAGCTGCACAGCATCCGATACCGGAGGAAACCATCATCCAAAAAAAAGTGATTTCTGTCCAGGAAAAAGAAGTTTTCAAAAGCAGAATGTCAGAACGAAGGTACAAGAACATGCAGCCACCTTGAGCAGCACAATTCTAGAACTGAACATCTCCTCCATCTCTCTTCAGGAGCAGCCTGGTGACGCCCACAACGTGAAGTGGACTCCTCCGTGGTCCCAGGAGCGGCTTCGATGCTTTGCGGAGCATGGTGGGTTCATCCTTTAATAAGTTCTGGAACACAGCGTATGGCAGGACTGTGGCGTCCGCACCTGTGTCAGTTTTAAACGTCACGCTGCGGTCGTGGATGTTGATGTTCATTCAACCTTTACTGAGACAGGTTAGTCCCACTGAGCCTCGGGGACTCGTTTACAAGAGACACCTGATTTCAACAAAGAGTGATGACAACAGTCACAAAAGAGGCATACACTTTAAATTTTTTTTAACAAATCAAAATAAAATAGCAACCAAAAGGACAGTCAAAAGGAAAATAATTAAAAAAACAGCTAAGATAAGGAGGTATAGAAAACAAGAAGAGGAACATGTCTGAGTTGGTTCTTGCCAGGAACTTAACAGATGTTTAAAGACACTTAGAGGTCAAGGTTGAGAGCTCCAGATCTTTACCATCCAAGGATCTCCATCTGTAATGAAGCTGCCAAGAAAGAGAGCATCCCCAGTCTCTTCCTCTGGTGCCCTGCACGTCTACAATGTCCCTTTCTGCCACATTTGGCACTGCGACTGAGAAGATCGTTCTTTCCCGTTCTGTACATTGTGTGACTTAAAAGCATAACGAGGGCTGTTTTTAACAGGCTTGCTGTTCTTGAACACTGATTCTGTCCAAAGACTTAGCATCACCTGACTGTGTTCTGATGTCTCTTCGTAGAGAAACCTGTTCACCTTGACGTGCCATGCTCACTGCTTCATCCAGGGTAAGTTCTGCATGTGTTCGGACAGCCCCTTGTCCGACAGTCCAACAACGAGTCTGTCTCTAATTAGTTCATCATGTAGCACCCCATATAGTGTTAGACACAGATACAGTTACAAATGAGTCCACTGACTCTCCTCCTCTCTGTGCATGTTGAACTTTGCACGCTCGTAGTTTATATTTTTCTTTACAATGAAGAAAGTTTGAAAGCCGTCACCTCCGTTTGAGTGCCTCTTTCATCAGCAGTCAGAGCAAAAGCCCGTGTCTCGTCCTGCAGTGTGTCATCGTATTCACTTGATTCTCCTCAGAACTTCCATTCAGGTTACTTGCCAGGTGAAATCTTTCAAACCTGCGGATCCATTTGTCCCCCTCTTGTGGTTTTGAAAAGTCAAAGGACTCTGGTGGCTCGGTGCTGTCGTGTCAACTACAATACCCTGAGGACGACCTTTAATTTTCTGTTTTTAAACTCAGACAAGACTCAGGTTTTGGGTTTTGGACCTGAGCAACTTAGGAATAAATATCTCAGTCTTTCACTTTCTCTGGATGCCATTAATCTGGCCTCCAGTTCTAAAGTGAAGAACCTTGGTGTTATTTTTGATCAGGACGTCTTTTAACCCTCAAATTAAAAACGTTACTAGAACCACCTTCTTCACAACAATAAAATTAGAAACATCTAAAAATGATGCAGGAAAACTGGTCCATGCATTTGTCACGTCTAGACTGGACTATTGCAATGGTTTATTATCTGGGTGTCCAAATACTTCTTTAAAACGTCTTCAGTTGATCCAAAATGCTGCTGCCAGAGTCTTAACTGGAGTTACTGGGAGAGATCATATCTCTCCAGTTTTAGCTTCTCTCCACTGGCTCCCTGTCAAATCCAGAATTTAATTCAAAATCTTACTTCTAACCTACAAAGCTCTCAACAACCTAGCTCCATCTTATATTCAAGATCTTATTGCTCTATATTTTCCTAACAGAGCACTTCGCTCTCAGACTGCAGGTTTACTTGTGGTTCCTAGAGTTTCCAAAAGCAGAATGGGAGGCAGATATTTCAGTTATCAGGCTCCTCTCTTGTGGAACCAACTTCCAGTTTCTGTCTGTGAGGCTGACACATTGTCCAGTTTTAAGACTGGGATTAAGACTTTCTTTTTCGATAAATCCTATAGTTAGGGTCGGCTTGGGTTTCCTGAGCTATCCCTTAGTCATGCTGCTACATTAGACTGCTGGAGGACGAACTGACCACATTTCTTCACTCTGCTGTCTTTACTTACTCTGTTCAACCTGTTTTGTATTTGTAATTATTTCTATCCTAACATGTGTTTTTGACTTTCAGTTACACCTGCACCTGGACCTGCACCTGGACCTGCACCTGGACCTGCCAGTCTGTGTTCGTTTGTCTCTCCTTCCTGTCCTTCAAACCCAGCCGGTCGAAACAGATGGCCGCTCGTCCTGAGCCTGCGCTGCTTGAGGTTTCAAGGGAGTTTTTCTTTCCACTGTCTCCTTTGTGCTCGCTCAGGATGGGAGACTGCGACGAAGTGAAGATTCAACACAATCTGCTGCTTCCTAGATACATCTTGTTTTTTATATCTGTGAATGTTTTTAGTGCCCCGAGACAATTTCTGTTGGGACTTGGAGATCCAGATATAAACTGAGATGATTAAATGTTTGTGTTAACGAGCAGCTGAACAGGTGGACCTGATGACATGTCTGAGACCAGAACACATCCAGATTTATTCGTCTTCTTCTTCACCCCTTCTTCCTGTTCAGGGTCACAGAGATCTAGAGATCGAGTACAGCTGGACTAGTCTCATCCAGGTCTAGAACCCGATCCAGATCAAGAAAAAAAAAAAAAACAGGTCCAGTCACAAAAAGCTGAATGAGTAAAAAGTGTTTTGAGGATCCAGCCGGAGTAGATCTGTTGGTTCTGGAGCCTGGATCAGTGCATGTAAGGATTATTACGTCACGTGATCAAACTCATCCCCTCATCAGGACCAGTCCTTCATCCAACGTCTGAATGACGATTTAGTAAAGATCAGCTGATTGGTCCTTCCATCAATCGGTTTCTCAGATTTCCCGCCTTTTCAGCTGCAGGACAGTTGCCATAGTAACGGAGCTCCGGTCGCGCGCCTCAGTGAGTCAGGGTGAGCAACTACGGGAGCGCGCGACGAACACAGACCAACGACAGCGGCACTGATGGCGGTCAGCATCTGCAGTGACGTCACTACGACCGCAACAGCCGACATTTAACGGAGTTTTGCTGCACGTGAGGTCACAACATCCGGTTCGGTTCGGTGTGGAAGATCAAACGAGCCAGAGCTGCAGGACAACAACAGACTGAAGGGCAACATGTTGCTGCAACCGCAGAGACTCGACAGCAACAACTGAGACAGCAGGAAAGCTTTAGCTCCGCCCCCAGCTGCAGGTGAGCTGCAGCACGTGTTCACCCAAACATGACGTGTGCGTCTGTCTCTGTCCTGTCTCCTGTCACGGTCTGACCCACCTATCTCTGAGTTGTCTATCTCTGACCTGTCTATCTCTGAACTCTCTGTCTCTGACCTGTCTATCTCTGACCTGTGTGTCTCTGACCTGTCTGTCTCGGACCTGTCTATCTCTGACCTGTGTGTCTCTGACCTGTCTGTCTCTGACCTGTCTATCTCTGACCTGTCTATCGCTGACCTGTGTGTCTCTGAGCTGTCTGTCTCTGACCTGTATATTTCTGACCTGTCTGTCTCCAACTTGCCTTTCTCTGACCTGTCTATCTCTGAACTGTCTGTCTCTGACCTGTCTGTCTCTGACCTGTCTATCTCTGACCTGTCTGTCTCTGACCTGTCTGTCTCTGAACTGTCTGTCTCTGACTTGTCTATCTCTGAACTGTCTGTCTCTGACCTGTCAGTCTCTGACCTGTCTGTCTCCAACTTGCCTTTCTCTGCTGTCTATCTCTGACCTTTCTGTCTCTGACCTGTCTATCTCTGACCTGTCTGTCTCTGAACTGTCTATCTCTGACCTGTCTATCTCTGACCTGTCTGTCTCTGAACTGTCTATCTCTGACCTGTCTCTCTCTGACCTGTCTATCTCTGACATGTCTATCTCTGATCTGTCTCTCTCTGAACTGTCTGTCTCTGACCCGTCTGTGTCTGTCTCTCCTCAGGTGGACATCTACTCTCTGATTGGATGGATGTTCTGACGGGTCAGATGATCCAGGATCAGGTCTTTCTGCAGCTCCATCTCCACCAAAACTTTAGTTTTTGTCATTTATGTATTTATTTTTTACCAAATCTAAGTTTTTTTTTTTTTAATCTGTCAGGTGATAACCTCATCGAAGCTCCGCCCACTGTTGATTCCTTCCCTGCTTTAACAGCCAATAATATGAACCAGCTGACGGAGGCGGAGTTAAGCCAGGAAATGGAGGGCAAGGTGACATTTCTCATCCTTCCTCATTGACTTTTTTCAGTTATTAATGCACATGCGTAAAATCTGGCCCCCGAACAGCTATTTACAGTCAGCGTTAATCTCTGTTGTTTTAGGTTTTTTACACCTGCTTTCTTATTGACTATTCTATACAAACATTTATAAACGAGTTTTGTTGGTATTTTACGTTGTGGTAGTGATGTGTGATGTTGTCACTGAGTGTATTTCAACGAACAGGAAGTAGGCATCAAACGTTTTAGGCCACAAAGCATCACAAAATCCTGACTCTGAGCTGTCAAAAGGTCAATTACAGACACGGTGTCCTTATTTCCTGTGGTGCATTCAGGATCTCATGTCCTGTGTTGTGGTGCGTTCAGGTGCAGACCTGGGCCCAGTCTATGATTTACACGGTGGAGGAACTGGAGTGTAAAATCTGCTACAACCGCTACAACACCCGCAGCAGGAAACCCAAACTGCTGGGCTGTCTGCACCGAGTCTGCGCCAAGTGTCTGAAGAAGATGGTCGACCTGGGTGAGTTCACCTGACAGGTGTGCCGACCGCAGTTTATTTATGTCGAAAAGTTCTGATGAAAAGTTCCCGCCAGCACTTCAACTATGACCTATAATCGTAGATTCAGGTTGATTTGACGTTTCAGATGAAGAGGTTTCTGAAAACAGCAGAGAGACAGAGAGACAGCTTCTTTGGGGGCCGAGCCACAGCTTCCCGTGGTTTTTAGGTTAAACTTTCTGCATGACGGATCTGCCATTCTGTCATGTGACTGTTCCCAGGAGACTCCTCCCCCTCCGTCATCAGCTGCCCGTTCTGCCGCCACGAGACCTACATACCTGAGGAGGAGGTGAGACAGGTTACTGAGGAGGAGGTGAGATGGGTTACTGAGGAGGAGGTGAGACAAATTACTGAGGAGGAGGTGATATGGGTTACTGAGGAGGTGAGATAGGTTACTGAGGAGGTGAGACAGGTTAATGAGGAGGAGGTGAGACAAATTACTGAGGAGGAGGTAAGATGGGTTACTGAGGAGGTGAGATAGGTTACTGAGGAGCTGAGACAGGTTACTGAGGAGGAGGTGAGACAAGTTACTGAGGAGGAGGTGAGATGGGTTACTTAGGAGGTGAGACAGGT